GGGGCCTGCGGCACACCCCCAGCCAGCCCTGCCAGGACCCACTGGGCCCGCCGTCGCCCACCTCGCCCACCCTCACCTCTGCCTGGCCAGCACTCCCCCACCACACACTCGGACATGGGCCCTGGCGGGTAGGCAGGGCCAGAGGGCTAGGTGCAGCCCCTGGGGGCTCCTACCTGAGAACAGCGTTTGGGAGGGTCTCGGAGAACAGGAGCCAGGAGGGGGAGGTGGCTCTCTCCCTTCCCTAGAGCTCAGAGCCTGTCCGGTCACTTCCTGTGACCCCGCGGTGTCTCAGTAAGCTGCGAGGTTTCTGCATCCTGCCTAATATCTGGCTCTTCAATTCTTTGCGAAAATTCTGGTTTATTCCATTCACCTTCTCTGTCTCCTCAGGGACTGGGGCCACGACCCGGAGATTCCCTGTGGACACCGAGGCTCGCGAAGGGCACAGTCCCTCGTGTGAAGGCACGGCGCTTGCAAACGGCCTAGCCCACCTTTTCATGCCCGTTAAGCCACCTCTGGTCACTCCCCAAAGCAACAAAACTGTAAATAGTGGGACCAGCAGATGGCATAATGGTTTTGTTGCGGGACTCCCACGTGGCCAGCTGTGGTTCAAGTCCCAGACCCGGTGGTTTGAAACTCACACCAGGCGCGTGAGCGAGCGTGCCCAAGATCCTGGGAGAATGAAGGAGAAGGGATTATAGGGTGGCCATCCTCCCTGAGGGGTGATTTCCCACTTTTCGTCTCTGTCTCTCCGGCAAGCACACGTGCCATCTAGCAAAAGCCTCTCTATAAAAGAATAAAATAACCATACATAGCCGAAGCCCCGGAGCCCACAGGTGTGGAGGCTGGCTACAGTCACGCACGCACGTGTGTTTCTGTTCCAGCCTCAAAACTTTCTTTAGAAAAATGTCCAAGCCTCTGTAACCCAAATCCTCAGTTAAATAAAACACGCGTGTGCTCCGTCGCTCCCCGTGCAGGTGTGGCTGGGCGGTGGCGTGGGCCACGCTCCTCCCCCCCGCCAAGGGAGCGGTTACAGCCAGAGGGCACGACCAGGAGGCGGCGAGAGGCTCGCGCTCCCCTCCACGGGGACCCACCTCTGCAGCTGCCCCTCCCTCCCTGCCCCCGAACATTCCTTGTCACTTCTGGTGACCGCCACCGAACCCTCGCCCCTTCTCAGCGTCCACGGCCACCTTGAAAAGGCTGGGCTGGGCCGTGCACGAGGGCACGGGGGCGGGTCTGCCAGGACGCCTCCAGTCACTCGCCTGCTGGAAAATCGGCCAGTCAAGGTCGGGAGACGTGATTCTGAGCCGTGTCTCTCGTTCAGCCTCTCAGGTTGCCCGAGAGCGAAGAAGAGCGGCATCAGGGTGGCCCAGAGCAAAGAGGACAAGGAGGACCAGGAGCCCGTCAGGTACGGCAGCAGGCGGGCAGTCCCCATTGTACGCGCCGCGGAGAGGACAGGGCTCCTGCGGCACCTGCTGCAATGTGAGGAACTGCGAGGTCAGATGACCGCCCACACCAGTGCCCATCCGGCGTCTGCTGGGAAGGGGCAGGTGCCATCCAGCACCCGGAGACCCGACCTGGTGCTCTGCAGAGCCAGTCACAGGGGACACCCTCCCCTCCTGGCAGCCAAAAACCCAGGCGGGCAGGCTCCAGAGCCGTGTGTGTGGCCGTCCTGGCGCCCAAGCTCCGCCGAGCCGTGCCCTCTGTCTCGAGGCAGGGCCCAGCCCCGCATAGGTGCAGTGCTAGGCGGCAGCCTGCTGCCATGGGGGTCACCTGGCCAGGGGCCAGTCCCCGCCTCGCAGCCCACCGGGACACCTGCACTGCCTTCCACAGCACACGCTCCCTCGGTGCTCTGCTCGACACTCCGATCGCACATGCCTGACCAACTCTATTGGAATACGCAGGCGGGGTAAACACAGAGCTGTCCGCTGCCATTCCGGACTGCGCAGACCCCATGAGGGCATGGTGGTCACCTGGCCAGGGGCCAGTCCCCGCCTCGCAGCCCACCGGGACACCTGCACTGCCTTCCACAGCACACGCTCCCTCGGTGCTCTGCTCGACACTCCGATCGCACATGCCTGACCAACTCTATTGGAATACGCAGGCGGGGTAAACACAGAGCTGTCCGCTGCCATTCCGGACTGCGCAGACCCCATGAGGGCCCGTGAGTGTGTGCCGGGGCTCTCTGGGCCACCTCAGCCCTCCTCAGGCACCTGGCATGGAGGCTGGCTCGGCTGTGTCCTGCCCTCCCCGGCCTGTTGTTCTCAGGGCCTTCTAGTCACTGTGTCTCTGACTTAAAACCCCACCTCAATGGGACCAGCAGTTAGCGTAATGGCTATGTTGCTAGACTGTCATGCAGCCGACCACGGTTTAAGTCCTGGACCTGGTGGCTTAAAACTCACACCGGGCGCATGTGCATGCGTGCCCAAGATCCCAAGAGGAGAATGGAGGAGAAGGGATTGTGGTGTGGCCATCCCCCTGGGGGGTGATTTCTGTCTCTGTCTCTCTCTG